TATATATGAGATTATGGATTGAGATTTTAAGCTGAATTTTAATTTGAGTTAAATTCAATTTGAAGTTTAAATTTGGGCTTATTTTAATTTTAACCTAGGACCACCTATATTAAATTGTATTTTAAGTTTGTATTTGGGTTTAGTTAATTAGATTTTAATTAGGTTTTAATTTGAATTACTTTAAATTTTAATTTTTGGTTAAGTCTATCCTAAATACATCTTTAGCAACCAAAGTGAACCCAAATTAATCCAAGATCTAGCCTCATAGGGCTTTGACCCACCATGTCAGGCCAAGGTCATTAAGGCTTAACTCAGGTCAACTAGACTAAGTCAGGACTAACCAGTTGTTCTAGGAAAGGGATTCTAAACTAAGAACTAAATGATATGAAAGGAGATATAGACCAAAAAATGTGTCTATGGCACCTGAATGCACCGACCTATTGTTTTATTATGTTTTTTGTGTGTTTGCTTTGACTTGTTTACTTGTATGCAAATTAGAAATATTTTTTCTTATGTTTGATTTTGTAATGTGTGCCTAGGACTTGGCCAAGATTTTCGTTAGGCTCTAAATTTTTTTTTCTCATTTAACGAGAACTAAAATTAATTTTCAAAAAGCAAAACTTGAAATCAAAAAATATATATTTATATAAAATATAAAATATATAATATATAATAAAATTAAAATCAATCACATAAATATAAATAAATTGTATTGTATACAAACAACGTATGAAATAGAGTAAAAACTAATAGAGCTCAATTTTAAGTATGAGCGGGAAGATGTATGCATCGTATTGCTACTGTTTCTAAATTTTAGGCATTAACCTATACATAGAAAGGGGGATCCGATCAGTGAAGCTAACTGCCCTTATGGGGCGATAATTATCTTTCATAGTTCATTTAGCCTTAAGATCTCTTACACTTGCATAAAACAAGGACTATTAAACCTTTACTCAGCCTTCTATGCACAATCAAAATAACTACATCAAATTAATCAACCATCTCAAAATCAAATTAGAATATGTCAAATCTAATATATGTTCATCGACTCAATCATCTCAAGTTAACTTTAAGTTGAAAAAAATAAATAATAACTTTAAAAATATAAAATATTTGCATTAGTTAGGTGCACGTGTTTACCCGGGTCACTCAATATTCAAGATTGAGTTGTAAGTACAAACAAAATTTTCTAAATTATAATAGGCCGCCACTCTTTACGTGTATGTGGCTATCATTATGATTTTAGTCATAGAATATGTTAGCGGGCAATAATTTTTAGGTGGGTTGTAAGTCCTGGATTGTCGAGTTGAGTTTCATTCCTTAGTGCGAGTGAAATTTATAAGTTTCATCTTTTAATCTAAGTTTGATTTTCCTACCCCTTATTGGCAGAGATTAACTTAGTTTTGGATATGAAGTTGCCTATCAATTTTGCCACATGGCTAAATTCTCAGTGGCTTTTTGAGGACCCATTCCATTAAATATTAGTCCAAAATCTTCTAAATACAATGATAAACTCAATTCAAAAAATAAACTTAACCTTCAAAATATAAAGCCTAACTACATGATAGACTAAAATAAATATCAAGTCTCCTAGTATTTAGTGCCCATTTATCCTCATTTGTTGGCTTCTAGCAAGAATAATTCTAGTTTGCAGTATTTTCTGCTAACTTCAAAACTAAGCATCCTTGAAAATTAATCTTTGAGATATGCAGAAATGAATATCCACTATTTTAATCAAGAAATATTCTCTTTGAGATCAAATTAACTAAAAAGGCTTGCTTCCTTAAAGGTACTAGATTCTAGAATTAAAGTAAACCCTATCATATCTCTTGAGAACTAGGCAAAAACTTTTAGTCAATAGACTTCTAGAGTAATGAAACAATTAGTTCGTGATTGGCTCTATCATAGGGTAGCATTTTATCCCTTGAGTTAATATACCATTCATCTTGTCGTATTTGATCATAAGTGAAAACTTATTAAACTATGTGTGTGCTTCACACATTCTATCTCTAATAGAATGTATCCACAAACACACAAACATCCATCAAATATATGAGAGTGCAAATACCTTATCTACTCTTAATGTGGTGATACACTCTCACCTGAAGATGGCTTTATTACTTTCATTATCTTTTTAATTATGACAATCTTATTTCTTTATATATAGCCGTGATATCTTTGTTGGCTCGTATATTCCCTTATCTTTGGAAAGTTATTTAATTATTCCCATTACAATGAAGTTTTTAATGCTATTAAAGTTATTCAAAAACATAAAGCCTCTTGACCTAAAGGATTTTAGATAAATTTTCTATAATAATGCTCATAGCTAAAGGGACACTTATAATGTTAATTCTTTTTTTTCTTTTGTCAACCACTTCTTTGAGTAAATTTAAAAAAGCTTTTGATAAGCTTAGTAAAATATTCTATTATTAATAAATTGATAGTTTTTGGAAAATGCATTTCTGTCTAAATCTCCCATGCTCCATTGTCTAAATTATTCTTATAGTCCACCTAATGACTTGAGACAAATTTGTTCTCTTTTATTTATTTATTCACAATTATAATGGATATTTTCTCCTAAATACAGCTAAAGAGACATTTGATGATTATTTTTATTATATTATGAAAGATCATACTCTTATCTCCCACTTTATTTTGTAAATGTCTCATTGGTTGTTGGAAAGACCAATGTGAGCACAATTAATTCCTTGAATAAATCTTTGTCTCAATCAATTGTTTATATCAGAATGCAGGTAAATTTGAAGAACTTGGAATTTTGAATTTCTAAGACTAATAGAACTGTTAAGGGGCTTGGGCAAGTATTACAATTTTCATTTCAAGTTTTTAGGTCTTTCTCTTATTTTTGGTTGGCTGTTTATTAATGATTGTTTTCTTTTATTTGAGAAAGCTAGGAAATGGTTGACTAGCTAAACTTACTTATTATCTTATGGTAAATGTGTTGATTAACCACTTGTTCTTTTATCAAAAACTACTTGTTCTTTTGTCAATCTCTTTCTTCAATAACATGTTGAAAAAATTTAACATCTATTTCACTCATATCTTCAATGAAGGGAAAACTGAAAAGAATGCTTATCTCATTTATCATGCTTAGACTACTCTTCGGAAGATGGGTAGTCAACCAAATTCATAAGATGAAGAATGTATGAAATTCTTAATTCTAATAACCTATTATCAGGGTAACTTAACTATAACTTATTAATTTGATAAACTTTCACCATGAATATTTTACTATTCTTGAAGGTGGCAAAGTCTATAGCATTTAGTATAAAAAAGAGGCTCTCTAGGGAATGGTTGTTCTTTTTCTTTAATTCCTAACCTTGAATTACCGATATGTTTCTTCTTAAAAATTTGAGCTTACACTATAGCTCTATTTTTTTACTTCTTATTTAGGCTAAGTCCATTTCATCATTAATAATGAAAGTTAAAATTTACTCATGTTTGTGTATTTTAGTAGAAGTGAATGCTTTAATGTTATTTTAAGAACTCCTATTAGGGGATATTGTGATTAATAATATAGGAGAATGAATTTTTTTTAATGCAAGTCATGAAAGTTATATTTTGTATCCATCATAACTCTCAGTGTTCTTAGTCTACCCGATTTAAATAATTCTCATTATAATTTTATTTATTTTGATATGTGGTATTGGGGTAGCCTCTCCCTCCTTTTTTTTGTAATAATACAATGTGGAGACACTTTTATCTATTTTTTTTAGCTATCCATTTTCAATGTGGTTGCTAAAAAAAAGCTTTTATTCCTTAGTTATTTTTTTATTTCTTATAACTATATATGTTATGTTTCAATGCACTCGATGAGAAAATGAATGGTAGGCTATCCAACAACAAATCTACTCTCGTTTCAAACGTTTGTGTTAAAAATAAAGTTTGCTTTGCTTATAAATTAAGAAGATAAAAGGATAAGAAGGCATTGCCATGTGAAGCTATAAATTTGATTCTAAAGTGGCAAACTTTTTACTTTTAATTGCTACTTTCTTTTGCTTACTATTGATTTTGACAATTATTTGGGGTGCTATTATGATAGGGACTCTTTTCAAGCAATCGAGATAGCTTGTGCCATTTTGGTTGGTCTTTATTATTTTATTGTGAGTTCACTTATTTTTGTTTTATTGACATCTTCATTAGTGTATTAGATGAAAAGATGCTCTTTCTACCCTTAAATTTGATCTCTCAATGTGGTTTTTTTACAACTTGGTTATATGATAGTTTTTTATGCCCATTTGGGTATTTGGTTTAATAGGTTCTAGCCTTCTAAACATTATTAATTATGATGATAGTGCATGCCTAGCCTAAAAACTTATTGGTTGATATTTCGTTTAATTTACACATCAATTTTTTTGGATGTAACTCGATAGTGCATTTGTGATGGATGCTTTTATCTGAGCTTTATTTTAATTGATTTATGTTGGATATATTTCATTATCTATTTGATCTTTTTAGTATAAATACTATTTTCATAGAGTTATGCTTAAACATAAAGTTACCATAACAATTCTTTTTGTTAGATATCATTTGTAAGTTTTTTTGTTACTTAATTGAGTGGAACAAAAAATTATCATTATAATTCATCTTCTTTTCCAACATTTGTAAGTTTTTGTTTTTTTTTTTTTTTACTTAGTTGATTGGACAATGCTCTCAATATTTAAAAAAATAATATTTATACATATCATTAAATTTTTATGTATTTTATATTTAACCCCTAATATTTTTTATTTTTTTATTTAACAATTTAATTTTGTATTTTATGAAAATAGTTATATTAAAGATGTATTTTATTTTAAATTAGTTAAGAATAGTAGAATTTTTAATGTGATTTTAAAATTTGAGTCTTTCTAAATATAAAAATTTAAATATTAAATAGATACATATATGTACTTTGTATGCTACTCATGTGAATCACCCCCTCAAAGGAAAAATAAAATAAAATAAAATAATCCACTCCCAAATAAAATTGATCCAAAGAAAGCAGCATTCCCATTTTCAACTACTTTCGCTTCGTGGCCAGCTTTCTCCGACCGTCGCTTCCTTGCAGAGCATCCATGGCTTCTGCTGCCGTCAATCGCTGGCTGAGGCCTGAGGTCTCTCCTTCTCTCCCTCCTTCCCTGTCTCGTTTCGCTTGATTACAACGATTAGCAGCCTCCGCGTCTTGACTAATTTTCTTCTTCCCAATACCAGTGTTGCGGATCTAGTTTTGCCACTATTACGACTTCCTTGCTTGATATTAGATAAATCTGTTTTATTTTCTTGCTGATCTGAGTTGCAGCGGTTTACAACTCTAGGTTTATCCACTCTTTGCCGCGGTTGGGACTGCCATGGGTATTTGCTGCTTCCAGCTTGTTCGTAATGTTTGCATCAACCCTGAAGTGAGGTATATTTTGTCCTTCGATCGCTTGACTAGATCTCCTTTTTATTTAATTTTGCTTTTTTTTTTAAACTCTGTTTTTTGAATGCACTCTGTTGTTGGCGAGGTTCTTCATTTTAACAAGTTAATGCCGCAATTGCATTTCATCTATGATGAACGGATTCGAACGCAGTGATACTTTTATCATTTAAAATATAATACATTGATATGCGTGGAACATGATATTATAATAAATATTATAAAATTTCATAGGAATTAAATAAACATAATATTGAACATATTAAGGAAGGAATAATATGTTATTTAAAAATATGAAGTTTTAAAAGCTAAAGAGTCCATAGATAAATTTTTAATATATGATATAAAAGAAGCTTTAATTGTCTTGTATTAATCAAATCAACATTCAAACGATTATAGACAACTATGCAAGGCTTCTTCCGCATACACATGTACTTGTCCACCATTATCACCAAGTTATGGCTCATCAAGAGAAATATTTGCAATTGCTGAAATTAATATTTCAAGCAAGCCTTTTTTATATGTGAATTTTCAAATCTTTAAGAGGGAAAACACATTGAGGATTCTTCTTAAGTTATTTTTTACTCGAATATCTTCCACGAATATAAGGAAAGTAAAATAGCTAATTACTATTTTATAAATTTAGAATAAATTATAAAATAGAAACTGAAATATTTTGGATTTAAACAATAATCCAAGTAATATAAATGCATGTTATTTTTCTTCTACATATCATCCAAAATGATATCTACAATATTCTAGAAGCTTGAGTCTCGCATTAGATTTTATTTCACGTTTATATATTACTTATTTTAGTTTACATAACATTGTTCCTGACATCTCATAAATAAAAAATATTCTGACATGCCTTGCATCATAGGAGCATGAAAGAGAATTAGCTATTATGCATGAGGGAAGAAAACATGGGGATTCTTATTGAAAATATTAATAAAAATGACGTAAGAAAATATAGAAAAATCACATCGAAGTCAATTGCCCCTTGCAATACCTTGCAATCCTGTCTGTACTGTAGATCTCCTTCATACAAGTGGACACAAATCTCTCTCTCTGAACTCTCACAAATCTCCAAGAAAACATCTGAAAAATCTTCTCTGAACTCTCACAAATCTATAAGAAAACACCCTAAAAATCTTCCCCAAATGAGAACTAATGGAGAAAACCTTACAGATTACAAAAATTCTTCTAAAATTAGGAAAAGAGGAAGCTTCCACAACCAAGAGTCCTCTTAAACTTCAAATACATGTTCTTATATAGTTAAGCTCAAAATTCAACAGTAAATTATTTCAATTTTGTCATTTTGTAGAGCAGGGCAACATACATGGAGGGTCGGTGCAGGCGTGTTGTCTTACGGTGCAGGCGTGTTGTCTTACGGTGCAGGCGCATCAGACACTAGATGAGGCTGTGCTGACGCGTCTCCTCGGACATGGGCATGCCGCCTATCCAAGAAAGGGCGCTGACATGCCTTTTCTTGACACGAGTGCGCTAGTGATTTTTTTGGCCATTTTGTTTTCTTTAACTCCCACTAGCGCACTCGAAACTTGTATTTTGTAAAATATAATTAAAAAAATTTCCACAAGCGTAAACTCATCATAATAATGAACTAAAACATGGGATTTACAAATGGAAATATCACAAGCATAAATTTTACTTATTGCTTGCCCTCAAGTAATCTCATATCTAAGCTTAGGCTTCTTTAAAATATTTTTGTAGTTCTCATGTGTGATTTTTTTGTTCTCCAACAAGACTATATAGTTTATAATTAACATGCACAAATGTAATATTAGGGTTAGATTTTCATTCATTTCTAATACCAAACATTTCTTTAATCCTTTTCTTTTTGAACCTAAGCAGATCTCAATGCACTTAATCCAATGTAACTAAAATATTTCAATACCCAAAAGTATTTTTTTGTTAATTAATTATCAATAAAACAACCCAAAATCACTAAGTTTTTTTAATGAATATAATATTTAAGAATTCCATTAAGAAAGGTATTGAGTTTGGTTAATTAGAAAAGAGTTGGACACCAATTTTTGATGTTCATGCTTAACCTCAAATTTCTTATCAAAAAGACTACCACTTATATCTTTTTTCTTTTATTTTTTGAGACTATGTCCTTGTATAAATTTTCTTTTATTCCCTTATTTTTTAGCCCAAAAATTATTTTAATTCCATTGAGAATTACATTATCTAGTTAAGCATATATATTTTTTAAGGATTTTGAATGTCTAATTTTCCCTAATTGATAATTCTCAATTATCTTTTGATATGAATTTCAAAATATTATAATTCATTCAAACATTAATACAAGCAGATTATCTGAGCTAAAGATTTAAATGCTTAATTATTCTCTGTTAATTACTTATATTTTCACTTACACCTTTTTAATTGTTTTGGAACTATTTTACCTTCCGGTGAAAGTAATTAAAATGGGGATTAAATTATTAACAAATCAATTCTAAACTTCTCGTCTAATGAACATTCACAATTCCTTAAAAATTATTATATAATCTTTTGATATCACTAAGAATCTTGTCGTGAGTCACTACTCTAAAGTCGAATCTACAGCTCGGGTATTTAAATTACCAAGTACACATGTATCACTCACTACTTAAGCTTATTTTCTATCTTATTCATGCCGCATGAAAAACTTGAAAGTATGGAAAAAGAGTATAACATGTGACACAAATACTCTAGCATCACAACAAAGATAACATCCACAGTTCTTGTAAGTTCTAACACATGAAGTATATCTCTATAAAACACATAAGATGAAGATAAAGGCGCTGCATAGGAATGTCACAGAGTGCATGATATAATTGCAAGTACCCGCCTCAATCGAGTTCACTCATAACATCAAGTCCATATACACTGAATCAAAGTTCAAGCAAATCACCACATAACCTAAAATGCATCATCGACAAAAAACAAAGAACAATTTCATATGTGACGCTTTGCCAGAAGATCAAAAGAGTATGCAATGTAATCTCATAATACAAATCACAGTCCACAACAATAGTAAACATAAGTTAGCAAAATCCACAACCCATACATAGAATCATGGTCCTTGAAAAAGAACAATTACAATGCACAATAAAAAACCCAACCACTCATGCCTCATCTTCACCGTCATCATCCTCATCTTCCTCCTTTGGTTCGACTACATCATCAAACAACACAAAAGGTGGCGCATCAGGGAATTGTACATGGTTTGGGCAAGTGTTAATCTACTCCCTTTGGTACAGTTCTTGCTGGGCCTCAAAATACTAGTGAATGTATCTATATTATTGCTGGCGCTGGATAGCATAAACATAGGATTTTTCTTGTAAATTGTGCAGTTCCCATTGCATGATGGCCGAGTCCTCTATCAAGGAGTGGAGGCGGTAAGAAATCTCTGGAACTGACGGGTAGGCCTTGGACGAGATGGGTTAGCTGAGAGGAACTCTTTCCTCTCTCGTAGGTGGATGTTTTCACATAGGAGAAAATGATGTCTTTGGTAATGAGTTTCACCGGGTTGAGCTGCTCCTCCCACTTTTTCCCAGCAACCCCTGCCTTAGCACAAGGGGCAGTGATAAGGTTGGGGTGGCTTAGTCCTACGATAGTCGGCGCAACAATGATGTGATGAAGGTATAGATGGATAATTTTACACACATACATTGTCAAACCTATCCTTGCACATTGGTGAGGCTTGTTGTGGGCATATGTCTTGCAGCAATAGAGTTGTGTCACCTTTGAACTCTTTATACAAGGCGACACTAGAAAAAATGAATATTTTCTCATCTCTAATTTTCTGCTGGACAGTGTGGTCAGTGAAAAAACTGATGACTTCATGATAATTTGGGGTTAGGAAATTGGAATATTTACAGTTGAGATATTTGCAAGTTCTAAGATCGAGTTGACCATTTGAGAGTCAAAATTACCCACTTTCCCCAACAAAAACTTTCTCATTCACAGGCTCCTTAGTGTTGGCAAAGAATTCATGGATGATTGTGTCTATCGCGAGTGGAGCGGTACCTCTCCCAACCTCTTGCCACAATTACTTCTACCCTGTCCTCGGGCCTCACGAAATACTTTCTAGGATCAACTTCTTTGATAACAAGAGATTGTTGTATCGGTTTGCCGCATCCTAGCTTATAAACATCCTGTTAGCGAATGGTGTGTTTTTGTTACCTTTGGTGCTTGGTGCCATGGATGTCAAATGGGAGGAATGAGGCTCAAGCACAGGTGTTAAGGAAGATGAATATTGAAGAAGACGTAGAAGAAGAAGAAGAGTAAGAAGATGGGAGAAGCTCAAAATGTGGAAGAAATGGGAAAGGAAGGACATTTCTCACCTCAAATCCGCTCTAGACTCCTTACCCCTTCCTCCTTCTAATTTCTCCTTCTCTCTGTCAGGCCCTTAGGTGAGTAGCAAGGGACAACGAGGCGTGCTAGGGCAAAAATTTTGAATCAGAATGAGGGGGAGAAAGCATAATTGTAGATTTAAGCAAGTCGGCGTGGGAAAGTTACCTATGCGGTCCGTGTGTGTCTCAACCTTGGAAGGGTGGTGTGTGTGGGCCGCCTAGACAGTGTGGGTGTGCTCCTCTACTAGGCAACACGGAGGGCGACACAGGGGTGTCATGCGCTCTGCCTACCCAATGTGGGTGCGCTGGTCCTAGTGTGGGTGCGCTGGTCCTAGTGTGGGTGCGCTGGTCCTAGTGTGGGTGCGCTGGTCCTGTGTGGGTGCGCTGGTTCCTAGTGTGGGTGCGCTGGTCCTATCTCCCACAAAGCGTGATTTTCTCTTCTTTAACTCACATTTACATTTAGCTATGTCAGGTCAAGAGCCTAATACATGCTCTAACACAACAACCAACGACTAAGGGTACAAAAATAAAATTCAAACCAAACATAAATAAAAACACAATCAAACACAACTCAAATCACATGATAACACTTGGGCTCTCTCTGAAGTAGAGTTTGGTTTAACATCC